TTCGATGCTGCCGTGACTTCACTTAACGGCTAAGTACGTACAAAAGGGGGTATGAAATAGTTGTGTTTTATTTGCTAAATGAATCTGCATGGCTCGACAAAAAAGCACTTTGTTAATAATGTGTTATAACGGTACATTGAGGTTTCATACATTCATTCATGAGTTTTTAGACTTCATGTCTCCTCAACGGGCCACACATGCAATGAAAATAGTTGTCAAAGACAGCTTTTCGAGTTAGCCTTTCTATAAACCACCAAATTTCTAAGAACGTTTACGAATGATAGAGTTTGAAAGTTAACTAGATACCGGTAAAAGGCTCGTTTCTTCCAGTTTTGAACCGAATTAAGGCCGAGTAATTCGCCTGTAGTCTAGCCTGAGTTTCAGTCCGTAATTAAACCCAACACTGACTAACAGTTCCTCAATCACAGCGGTAGAGCTTGCCATGGCCATCACGAGCCTCAGCGCTCCGGAAGTTAAAAAATTCGTACCGTCTGGTTGCTACGAAGTGACGTAATCATCCAGTTGAGTATCCGTCACCGTAACGCTTTTGCGGTCAACTACCGCAGCGCTCGTAAAGTACTTTAATTAAAACCGTGTTCAAAACCCTGTAGGAAGTCTGTTTATTTTTGAGTCGATTAATGCCCTGCTGACTTTCACGAGGTCAACTTTTGCATAAATTATCAAACATTATGTTAAGCGGGAAATCTACTTGTGGTTCGCGGGTAATGCAACCTCTATAGCGGCGCAAGACAAATGTTTCGAGAGTCGCGGATGTGCTCACAAACTATTCCCTATGCGACGAAAGGCGAAGTCACTGGCATGATAGCTGCATGTAATGGTAGTTTTATTAATCCAGGTCGCGACGTGTTCGCTCGAGAACGCTGTGACAACCTCGTTTGGCGCGCTTCTCAATACTTCCAAAACATGTTGTGATCGGTGAGTAGACTTAAAGGCCCATGTTCACCCTAGATGCATTGCGCGCCCTGTACTCCAGAAAATACATTTGGCGTAGTTGAAAATCGCTGCCTTTAGTGTGTAAGGTCAATCTTTGTTAATCTTCTACAGTTCGCTAAATCTGGTTTAACAGAAAGTCTCAACAAGTTCTTTTGGTATTTTTCTTTACATCTTCTTGGATATTTTGGAATGATATCGAGCTTTTTTGTTTCTGTGAGAGTTTGTTTCACTGCAGCACTTTCGATGGCGGCTCCATCGAAACGAACGGTTGGAAGCATGGTTGGAAGACCGCGTCGACGGGGGTCGCCGAAGTACATTCGTCTCCGTGAATCCGTTTTTTTAATCCCTGGAGAGATGGGAAAGAAACTCTTGGCTGTAAATTCTACAGACAGCGTGTTTGCCGAGTTCCTTCTACATCGAATGTTCAATTGTAAACAAAGGTCCCGTTGAAATCAGTTGAAAGCAAAACAAGCGAGTCAATCTAACATGAACAATGCTTTATTTAATTTAACCTATGAAGCGAGTGATATCCTTAACGTAAACTTATCGTCTGGCGTATCACGATTAAATCCGGCTCTAAAGTAGAGAGAACTCTTATTAGCAAACCAATCCCTAGCAAAACCTAAAGAAAGTGTAATACAGCGATTACAGCGACAAGACCGTACGCAGTGCCGATTCGACACTTTGCAAACACAACTTCTCGCTTATTCTTTCGAGCACACATACCTAAGCTTCCTAAGAATTAACACAAAATAATAGATTGAGGAATCAAAACATTTCACAGTCGAATCGGGCTTCAGAAAAACCTCACCTGGTGCTTATTAGACGTTTCGTAATTTATGACCTTCATTGTGTTCATCGGACTCAACAAAGCATCCATATGCATTCAGGGCTGCAAATAACGGCCGGTCAACGGACAATGTCCGGCCTGATCGCGGACTTGACGGGTCAAACTCCGGTCTTGCCGGTCATTTTGACCGGTCATTTTTGGATACAAACACTTTCTTTTCCATACAGTTGTCGCTTAA